GACGACATTGGATCCAGACTTGACATTTGGGATTCAGACAGTTCGACGAGGGACTATTTGGGCTTGTGCCGATGACTTGGTGTTGACAACATTCCCATCTTCCCCCCTCCTCTTCGTCTATCCCCTTCCTCCTCGTCTGTGCATGTTCTGGGCTGGCGCTGTCTTCCTGTGTGAAGCGCCAGACCCATTCACACTATGAAACGATGATGATGATGTATGTTCAGGGCTGCATTACAACATTGATTGTTCGGATCACTGGTATCTAAGTCTTCCGCTGTGCTATCTTATACTTTGTATTGAAAGGTCAGTTCTTGTTCTGGTCTGCACCTATACGGTATGCAACATCCTCCCACTCCAAACAATGATGTTTGAAATGTGTCTTGCAACTCTCATTGACACTCCCCCTCCCTCTCTCAGCGCACTCCTCCCGGTCCTGACACATGAAATGCATCTTGCAGCCATCCCCAACACTCCCCCTATCTTCCCTGACAGTCACCTTCCCAATAATAACCCTCATCAATACTCCCGGTCCTGGCTCTCCCGTTCTCAATCGCAAGCCTCCTTAACATTCATTAGGACAACTTCTCCCTGATTTGACATTCCTCCCGATTTTATCGCTTGAAACACATCTTGCGATCCTCCTTGACTCTCCCACTCTAGATCCCACCCTCCCATGACACTATGCCTTACTTCTCCCAAGACTTTCCCTCCTAACTGTTGCCCTCCTTCACACTCCCCCCATCCTTGTCTTGACGCTCCCCCCCCACAACTGCGACCCACTTGCCCTCCCAGTCCAAACCCTCCACAAACCTCCCCATCCCTCTCCCTGGCAATCCCCACACCGACCGCGACCCTCATCAAAACTCCATTTTGGCTCAGTGCAATGCATGATTCCTTTAGTGGAGACCTGGAGGACCTTAGGGCTTTGCAATGATTTTGAATGTGGCACTGCCAGAACTTAAGCCTGCGCAAATGTTTGCACGATGGGACCACAAGAATCCACAAGCCTGAGGGGGAAGGACCAGTACCGTGCACTGACTCCCTCATCAAAACTTTTTTCAGCATATGCGGCAGTATCCAACAGTGAACCAGACCTCGTGAGGTGTGGGAAAAGAGGGGGGGGGGGGGGGGGGGGGCGGCCAAGGAGTGCCAGTTTCACATCCTCGTGGAGCAGGATGGGATCTTGTCGGGGGCATAGGGAGAGGGGCGCATACTGGTAAGCTTCCCAGCGTCATTCCTGGTATCATGCTGTCTCTCATTTCATAACATGCTATGGCCTCAATGTGGGCCCATCCTTAAAGGTTTCTGATTGGTCACAAATCACAGCCATTAAACCTCATGAAACAAGTGACAGCTGGATGAGACCCCTGTAATGAACATGGTGATTTCTGCGGTAGATCTCATCCCAAGTGCTGGAATAGCAAGAACCTTGTTGTAACCAGGCCAATAACAATTGGGATCAGTGGGCATTTCCGGCATACTAAGCTAGCAGGGAGGGTTGGACAGCAGTAGCTGCATTGTGAGTATATGCATGTGGAGCTTTGCGTGCATGGGTGTGTGTTCATGTGCCTATGTCTACGCCACTCTCCACCTCCCTCTCTCCTCTTCCCCAGGTGAGAGATCCAGCAAACGAGAGAGAGAGAGAGAGAGAGAGAGAGAGAGAGAGAGAGAGAGAGAGAGAGAGAGAGAGAGAGAGAGAGAGAGAGAGAGAGAG